GTGTGTGTGTGTGTGTGTGTGTGTGTGTGTGTGTGTGTGTGTGTGTGTGTGTGTGTGTGTGTGTGTAGGATAAGGAGCCCAGAGGCATCATACCATTGGAAAACCTGAGCATTCGAGAGGTCGAAGATCCCAGAAAGCCAGTAAGTCTGTTGACATTCTCATTACACAGCTAATCACATTTCAACATTTCCATGACACTTTTCATAGATCAACTGCAGGTTTCTTTATTGACCATTAGGGCTGGGCCGTATTTCAGAGACAGATTGTGGGCTCTGCTTGCTGATGGTGATGTGTTTTCTGTGCAGAACTGTTTTGAGCTCTACATCCCTAATAACCGCGGGCAGCTGATAAAAGCGTGTAAGACGGAGGCCGACGGTCGAGTGGTGGAGGGAAACCACATGGTGTACCGGATCTCAGCTCCCACTCCAGAGGAGAAGGACGAATGGATCCACAGCATCAAGTGAGTAAACCATCAGCACTGGAGGGATTGGTGAAGCTCTCACAGGACACGGCATGTGAAAGAGTAAAGGGTGCACAAGGAAATGTATTCACACTGACTGCAGTTCAGAGTTTTATCAGCCTCTGACAAATGTTTGCATAACTGAAGTACATTTGCATTTCCTGATAGGAATAACGATGTACAACTCCTCGGGGTACAAAAATTATTTTAGCAGATATACACTTTTGAAATGTACATTTTTAGCTCACAAGCCTTCCAGTATGTCCCTCCCCAACATAATGTTTAACCCTGCTGAGGCTGACATACAAAACAACAGTCTGAAAAATGCAAATAGCAAAAATATTAGGGGTGCGACGATAAACTGATTTGATTTTTCGATTCTGAGCTTAGTTTTTAACAGCAGGTGGCACTCTAGTCTAGTTTTTAACCGCACACTTAAATGCTAATGAAGAAGAGCGCTTGTGTGTTTGGCCGAGTAATGTAAGGGGTTAAATGTACTTGCACCTCGGCTTTTATGACACGAGATTAATGTAAACACAGCCCACTGTGAACACTCTTGTAATTCGCGTCAACCTTTTTCGATTTTTTATGATTATTTTAGGTTCAAGTGGTGTGTGAGAGTGTGTGTGTGTGTGTGTGTGTGTGTGTGTGTGAGAGAGTGTGTGTGTGTGTGTGTGTGAGAGAGTGTGTGTGTGTGTGTGTGTGAGAGAGTGTGTGTGTGTGTGTGTGTGAGAGAGTGTGTGTGTGTGTGTGTGTGAGAGAGTGTGTGTGTGTGTGTGTGTGAGAGAGTGTGTGTGTGTGTGTGTGTGAGAGAGTGTGTGTGTGTGTGTGTGTGAGAGAGTGTGTGTGTGTGTGTGTGTGAGAGAGTGTGTGTGTGTGTGTGTGTGAGAGAGTGTGTGTGTGTGTGTGTGTGAGAGAGTGTGTGTGTGTGTGTGTGTGAGAGTGTGTGTGTGAGAGTATGTGTGTGAGAGTGTGTGAGTGTGAGTGTGAGTGTGAGTGTGTGTGTGTGCGTGCGTGTGTGTGAGCGTGTGCGTATGCGTGTGCGTGTAAGGAACTGGAAGCAAGCAGTACAGCTGTTTCTAAAGCATGCAGCACCATCTGCTGCTAAAAACTAGGCTCAGAATCGATTCAAGAGAGAATTGCGATGCATTTGCGAACATCGCAGAATCAATCCATGAATCGATTTATCATCGCACCCCTAAAATATGCAATTTGGTGCAGATGCTGATATTTATATAACAAAAAGTAAGATGAAATTCTGATTAACAGTAGAGCAGATACTGACATAAAATGATATAAATATCAGTCGTCACTCTATATCTCCAATAATGTGTCTTAGTAAGATGAGATTTAAAGGATCCAAACATATAATGCAATGCAATCCAGTGATGATTGAGAGATGAACAAATAAACGCTCCTCAAAAGATCCTGATGATCAGATTTGAGACTCTAAAACATGATTGATGGAGAATCAAGTAAAGCTGAGCTGCTTCAGTCCAGTAAGTGTTCATCTGGAAATATTACTACAGTTATATTTGCACTTTATAAAAATCAGAAAAGATTTGACAGCAAAAAGACACGTGAAGCTCGAGCTGAAGCTGGACGTTTGTACAGTTACACTAAAAGAGCTTTTACTTGATAAAAAAAAAAGTATAAACCATTAGATGACAGAAGGCGTGGAGTAGATTGTGTGTGAAACAGGTTTTTCAGCCAAATGAGGCCTTAGAAATGTGTATCGAATACGATCCAGTAGACTTTGCAGGTTTAAGATGATCTTGTGTTTTTGTTTCAGATCCGCTGTGAGCGTGGACCCCTTCTACGAGATGCTTGCAGCCAGGAAGAAACGCATTTCTCTAAAGAAGAAAGAAGAGCAGCCCTGAAAGTCCGTCCATCCATACGCTCCCTCCATTCTCTGAGAAACCAATGATCCTTCATTAAGGTAGCTCTCGTCAGATCGATCTGTTATGCTGGTTTATGGAGAGATGGATGTCGTTGGGGAACCTGGACATCATCATCTTCGGTTTGGATTTCGGTGGTCTGGACTGCAGCTCTTATCTCCACACTTCTCCTACATTTGCACACTACACAGTGTTATTTACTATCACACTAGTACACACTACACATACTCACTTTATCTCGCTGACATTCCATAGGACTTCACTGACAAACGTAACATTCATGAATCTGCGTACATCTCCATCCTCATCTCACGCTCCCTCCGCTCTCACAGTTCCAGTTCCTGCTATTGACAGCATTTTACTGTGAAGTTCTTACACGAACAGAGTAGACGACCAAACAGCCTGATGCATTCTTCTTCATCATCATCATCAGGGGCGGATCTATCCGAACCTTTAGCAGAGATGAGCGCTGAAGGCTTTTGTTAGTTCGGTCGCTATTGATTTACTGAGTCTATGTTGCTGCCTGTCTTAAACTTATTTTATGGGAACTGACACTATTTATCTCTTACTCGTTTGAGTGTATTTACATGTTATAAATGAAGGTCATTGCTTTTCACACCACATGATGAACTTCACTTCAGTTTACCTATTAGTTACATATCACTTCCAGCATATCTGTGAAACAGGATGTGTGTTTTACACTGTTATTGGTATTGATAACCCCACCGGTGATGTCATTTCCTGTGCACAGTTGATGACAACTGTATTGAACTATTGAACTGACCCATCGAAGCACCTGTGGAAGTGCTCGTCATTATATGTGAATCCTTAAATAAGCTCCTTCACCTTAAGAAAAGAGCCTTAAAAATCCCACAGCCCTGAATGTTCTTACACAAGTGTTTCAAAAACTCAACCACTGGGGCTGCGAAACTGTTCTTGGGCGAATCTCACGAAAACATGTCCAGATTATATCGCACACAGAAAACAGATTTTTTTTGTGTAAAGAAAAAGGCAGATTTTCAAGTTGTTTTAAATTCATTGTTATCATCATTTGGCATTATTCTCATAACTAAGCACAGTTCCTCTGTGTGAATGAAATCTAATTTCTTATTTCTCTGAATTAAATTTGACTCGTGATCTTGACAGATTTGGTGAGATTCGCTCTTACTATTTCCTACTACAAGCAAACTGTCTCGATTGGGAAAAAAAATCATGCAGTTAAAGGACTGAATATGACCATTTGCTGAAAATGTACACACCCACCAGCCATTCGAGATGTAGATGAGTTTGTTTTTTCATCAGGTTTGGAGAAATGCAGCATTGCATCACTTGCTCCTCAGCAGTAAATGGGTGCCGTCAGAACGAGAGTCCAAACAGCTGATTAAAAACATCACAATAATTCAAAAACGACTTAAAGATGGATTTACTTACCTTCAAATTGTTGAAAATACGAGTCTATAATCCATAATAACGCTTCCTGCAGTGAAAACGTGGTCTGGTCTGAATCAGGAGAGAAATCTGCACTGTTTACAAGCCTAAACAGCTCTAAACAAATATGTGGCTGGATTTTGATGTGAGAGACAACAGGAGATGCACTTTTCACTGGAGGAAGCGTTATTATGGATTATTGTGATGTTTTTATCAGCTGTTTGGACTCTCGTTCTGACGGCACCCATTCACTGCAGAGGAGCAAGTGGCGCAATGCTGCATTTCTCCACATCTGATGAAGAAACAAACTCATCTGCATCTTGAATGGCTTGAGGGTGAGTGAATTATCAGCAAATTTTCATTTTTGGGTGAGCTATTTCAATTTCAAGTCCTATCTTTCTGAATGTGTGTTTGCTATGAGAGAGAAAGACACGTCTGCTGCTTTATCCCCATGAAAAAGATGTTTTTCTCTTATCCCCGATCCTAAGATGTGTGCGATGACCTGTATTGTCACTCCTCTTACTCAGTGCTGTTCGGTTTGAAGGAGTCCATGGCAGCTTTTTCCAATGTACTTTATATTTTGCCTTTTCTGTTTGTAAATACATATTATGTTTGTTTACAACCCAAATTGATAGCATTTTTTATTTATTGTTTTTCACTTCTTTCTTTCTATGTGAGGACTAAGGATGGGGGTGCATGTTGTACTGAACTGAAGCGTCTTGTGTAAAGGGTGAATCTGACGCCAGTGTTGCGGGCGACTATTAGCGCTCTGTATTTCTAGACTCAACAAATTGGCATTGCAGTTCAAATGGGCTACGGATTACAAGCAGTAACAAAATCGGAAATGCAATATTCCAGAAATATCTTTAAAACGACGGATCATACAGAACACTAATAGCGTCTGGAGTCTTAACATAATAACCGCTCTATTTAAATATACTAATTATGAAACGGTTAATACTGAGAGTTGTTTAGCAGTGCATTTTGCTTGACTTTTGTGACTTTCCCCGATGAATATAAAGCTTGGCTATAGTAACTGATGTCTTTGACTTTAAGACATATTTAATAGTTTGGCACTTTACTAGAGTTCAGCACAGTTTTGACTAAACCACAGCTTGAGTATGCGAGTATGTGACTAGTACTGCAGTTCTGAACTGGTTTAAGCTTTGCTGCACATGTATAGGATGCCAGTATACAGCGTCCCTATCAGATCATTTGGAGTGAATCTGCTTCACGTTGTATTGTATGAGAAGCCACAGGCCGTCTGTATGTGACTGAGAGACTCCAAGTGTTAAATAACAACAGTACATTCTTTGATATAAGCTATGCGTTTAAACTCATGTTTCAGGCATGACGTGGTCTGATGAAGACTTTTGGAGACTCTAAATCTGGGCATTCTTGATGAGAAGTGCAAAGGTGCCAAAGCCTTTCAGCTAGTCTGTGAATACAGTAGGACAAATGAAAGCATTTGCTCCTCTTTGTTTTTTCTCCCAGCTTCTGATTGGCCGCAGAATGGTACAGATTGTTGGAAAATTCATGTAGCAAGATGAAAACTCAGTTATGGTACACTGGTGCCATTCAAATCTAATAAACAAAATAGATAAAAGGACTTTCTCGTTGTGTTTTTTTGATTGCTGGTGAATCATATTATTCCCATACAGGGGTACTTAGAAATATTTGACTTGTTAAACCTACAAAATAGAAACTGTCTTGTCTCACGAGAAGCCATTTTTATGAAGTTGCAATTTTGTACTAAGTTGTACAGTGTGATTTATAGAAAAAAAACATATATATTTTTTTTGTTCACTGATTTTTGTTAATATTTTGAATTAGATTTTTTTATTTTATTTTTTTTTACTTTAGTTTCATGTTAAAGCTTTAGAAATTGTCTTTTTTAGATTTTTTTTTGTCTTTTTTTTTTTAAGTCTACATAGTTATTTAATTTGTTTGTTTGTTTATTTAAGGTTTAGTTTTAGTACTCCAAGTTAAACTAGATTAGGATGCAACATGTTTCCGTGGCAACTAGCTGAAATAAAGTAAGTATATTTCATTTCAGTTAACTTTTATTTCAAATAACGATGTTTTTTTAATGGTTTTAGTTTTAGTGAGCATATGAACAACATATATTTTCCACCAATTCACCAAAATAACTTTTTTTGTCATGCGGCTGTGTTGCAAAATTAGGGCAGTCGATAGTTCAAAGTATTTGCATACTTTTTATAAATAACATGTTATTGTTACTTTAAAAGTACCTTTTATAGTAAAACTATGTGTAAGATGTCATTTTGTGTGGATGACATTTGGATATACAGTAAAGAAACCGGTTCAGCGTGATGGGGATCATGGCAGATGATTTTGCAATAGCAAGCAGCACTCGTGTTTGCTTTAGATAATGTAAACATCTATTTTTGATTGTTGTAATGTCCTCCATGCAGTCTAAATATCCGTCTCCCGGTGGTGGATGTACATGTACACAGTAAGTGTGTTGCTCTGAAGTCATGTTTTTCATCCTACTTCGCTTTAGCTCGTTAGCTCATCTCCTGACTGATAACCAGAACGATTAGTGCGGCCTAATCTTGTTATTCTGTGCCTCAGAAGACCACAGAAACTCAGATCAGAGTCTTCCCATAATGCTACAGTAAATGCAAAAACATGCATTTCAGCTCAGAACATCGTCTAGAAATTCACTTCCAAACAAAACGGTTAAGAAATCTATTGCATGTTAATTCAGTATATTTTTATGTATATTAAAGAAAATGTATTTTTTACTTCACTTCTGGAACTCTATTGTCATATTTGTATTTATATATATATATATTTGAGTGTCTATATTTTCTGCAGGTCCCTATCAAACGCTTCACATGCTTAATTAGCTTAGTTTCTAATAATAGCGATGAAGACCAGCATAAGACCAGGCTTTTCTTTAACTGAGAGGCTTGTGCTAATCAATACTGCAGGACTGCAGACGAGCCTGAAGACTTCACTTTGGAAATGCAATGAAAAACATTTACAAAATTGCTTTTTAGAGCTAGTCAGAAATGATGGAATTGCTACGATTTTTTTTTTTTTTTCAAAATTCAGTCCCTTTATTGCATTTCTGCTTTCAAAACTGTAAACAAATGAAAAGTTAATAAAAACAGTAAATGCATACTAAATTCCGATCCACAAACATTAGTGGAAAATGATATTCTTTTGAAACGAATTTACAGTAAATGAAACACAGTAGATTAAGCTAAAACACTACGACACTTAATCTGAAACTAAAGACATGTCAAAAGTCTCTCAGAATAGCTGCTTATTTAGCTCAGCTTTGAGTTGGCTAGACATTTTAACATGGACAAGTACAGGCAAACCTAAGAAATACTCATTTCAGCTAGAATGTTTCATTAGAAAAACAATGTACAAACACAACAGCAGCGCGTGTGCGACTCGTCTCTTTGGTTTCGCTGTATCTTTAGATTCTTCTTAGAGTATAAGAAAATCAATCTGCTCAAATAGAGCCTCGAGTTTCACTCTTATTCTACATTTATAGCACTTCTGTCTTCACATCCTATTCATGATCTATGGTTTCTATCCAAGTTATGACAATATGTCGTGTGCTTGCATCTAACACTGAATGGCACTGAAGAGCCATTTATAGAATAAGAATAAAAAAAAGTTCAGTAAGAAAACATTCGCTACACAAAACACTGAAACCATACAAAACGGGTCCGTGCTGAAATCCTGGAGGTCATGGGGTCATTCAAGTCTCTCGTGTAAACAGAAGGCCATATTTTTGAAGTGATAATGAAAGGATTTTGCATTCAAATCAGGTTACGAGTCGTCAGAATGCTTCAAAACAAGCTGATCACTCCGCACTCTGAAGCTTGTAATCGGATTGTCCTTCTCTTTAGTGGCAGGGGTCAAAGGGGTATTTGGTGACCCCGCCGTGCAGCTCCACCACTGACTCCGCCCATGCGATGATGTCACCGGTCATGTGACCTCCGCATGACGCCAGGCTGTAGATGTCATGCGGCGTGAGAACATGAGACCACATCTGCACGTCTGAGATTTCACCAACGAACGCCTGCGTCGCGTCGAAACGGCCACCCAGTGTGTCCTGGACAAAAATGGGACGGAGATTCGGGAATATTATATATGCAACACTAAACACATTCAGCGTCATCGGCTGAGAATGTGTGTTATGCACTTTATACAGAAAGTCAACATCATGAATGCAACTTTACTGGCTTATTCATATATGTAGTATACGACTTGTGAAAAAGAAGTATACTTTAGCATACTTAAAAAAAGAGTTTTTATTATGGTAATAATATACTTTAGAAGAATAAACGTAAGTGTGAACTGAATGTGATGTTCTCAGACACTTATTTTGCATGTTGTTTGCAATTAAATGAAAATGTATTATAGTATAAATTAGTGCTGTCAAACGATTAATCGCGATTAATCGCATCCAAAATAAACGTTTTTGTTTACATAATATATGTGTGTGTGCTGTGTGTATTTATTATGTATATATAAAGACTCACACAAACAGCATTTATTTTGAAAATATTTACATGTATATATTTATATTCATATAAATTATATCATATAAATATATTTAATATATAAACGTAACATTTTTCTGAAATATATACATGCATGTGTGTGTATTTATATAGTACATAATAAATATACAGAGTGCACACACAGTATATTATGTAAACAAAAACTTTTATTTTGGATGCGATTAATCGCAATTAATCGTTTGACAGCACTAGTATAAATTTATATTAAATTCAATTAGCTGAACTTTTGACCCGCTTAAATAGGACTTAAGTACATCTTTATA